TAGGGAAGACGATAATGACGGGCAGCTTACTAGGGGACGTTTGCATCTCCAGGCCCCGGCATGCTGGAAGGAGATACTTCTCTTTTTATACATGGGGAGTTGAAACAGGGGATTCAATTACCCGAGGCCCCACACTGGGCCAGTGAGGGAGCAGGGGTGAGGCCCAGCTTTGCTGTTCTCCAGAGTCCCAGTCCTGTGTCCTTTCCCCAATGCTTCCCACAACTTTAGTTGCTCAGTTACAGGTCCTCATGTTAAACCCAGGCAGTCACTGAGGTGTCAGTTGTTCAAGAGAAGGAAGAATAACTTGCGCCTCTGAAGCACATATGGTGACTGATGGAAACTTTGCTCAACACCCCACAACACTTCAAGCATTTTGGTAATGTGGTTTTAAATGGGCAGCTGGGGAATCGCGTCTCACGATGTTCAGATAAAATGCTTTCTCCTCTGCTACCACCATGGTTTTCCCTCCCTCCCTTCCTCCCACCACTGGTTACTCTTTGGTTCTGTATACTCTGCAACACCCTGAGAAGAATCTGGATCCTTCCCCACCAGTTCGATTGGTTACCGTTGGAAAATCTAAATTTTGTGTAAATCGGAGTCAACTCTGTTTCAACAATCTGGGAACCAATTCCTGCAAAGAAGTTGTCTTTTTTACCCATCTTGCACTCCCAAAATAAATTACTCTTCCTCAGTTTAAGGTCCAGCTGTATTCTCCTGCCACAGAACAGGTCCACGTGAGCGCTGCTTCACTTCCACGAAAGTACTTGCGCACACACACATTCCTCATATCTCCAAGTAAAAACCCTACCACTTCATGACAGATACTCTCACCATGTTTGTAGTCATCTTCAAAAATTGCTTCTGAAAAGTAGTTGTTCTGTTCCCACGTTAGCAAGAGATCAAAGTCACTCACCGTTCATTAAATGGAACTCAGTTGTTGCATTTTGTTTGTTTATTTTACTTTAATACTGTATAACATGCCTGGAAAAAATATACCATACTAGCCAGTCATAGGTGCAAATGCTAGATAATGCAACATATTATGTACAAATAAATGAAATAACTGGCAAAAGCAGTCCAAATATGCAAACGTAAGTCAAATCGTTTATTGCCTAGCCTGCTGAGTCTATGTATGTGCAGCATAGACTGCACATATATGTGCAGATAAAGGAAGGTCCAGCAGAAGAAAGGCCACAGAATTTATTTTTATTAAAACTATCAATGTTTAACAGTAGATATTGAGCGTCAATGCTGAATCACTGTACTGTAACATCCTCTAACCTCTTCAGAAGATAGGTCCTCCTGCTAACATATTAAAGAAGAGAGGTTGTGTTATGTCTCTTACTGCAGTGGCTTGTTCTGAGAAATAAAAGCTCCCAAAGCTGCATCTGGAAATAATGGAATAGTTCTGAGTCAACAAAGACGTACTTTTCAAAATTTGTGCCTGTCCCCATCTAGATAGGAACCCAATAATACTGCTATATATTGTTACCTTGGGTTAAGATAAATGGAGAAATTGGAAAGCAACAATTTCTATCAGCTGCAGGAAAAATCTATGTCTCTTTAACCTACACTGCCACCTACTTAAAAGTGTGGGGAATCTCAGGACTGTTTGCAGAGTTCCTAATGCAGAAATCACTGAATACAGGAGGTACCTTTCCGATGAGGCTGTTCACATGGATTTTGTGACATGACATCCTTTTAAAGACCTAAAAATGTTCATTGCCTTTTTTGGTGGAAGAAAGTAACTGAACATTTCTGTAAATTTTCTAACTAGAGAAAACCTACTTGAAAGTTTGCTTTCCAAGATTTAGCTGCTAGCGGCCATTTTCTGCTCTTCACGGCTATTTGAAATGCTAAATAACTATATCCCTAAGCTAAATAAAAGTTGCAGGAAGTTCTTCAAAATAACCTGCCCTTAATTGGGGTGGGGGTTGTAAAAACATGGTGAGAGATGTAATAACGAAAATTTTGAATATCTACTCCATCATTCCTTACACCTCCAAATGCCTAGAGGCTTCAGTGACATGTTACTCAGCATGGTGGTTACATGGAAATGCCAAACAAAACTTAATTACTAAGGGCTGAAAACAGTGTGTTACTGATACTAACTTAAGTAACAGCAACGTTCGCTCAAATAGCTCTCTTCTTGAAACTCTGGGGGCTCAAAGCAACCATTTTCTCTAATCAGAGGGTTCCAGGTCAAGCTCCCATCTGCGGGGGGGGGCAGATTTCAGTGCATCCTTCACCTCTTTTCCATGAATTAACACATGCATGAAAAAGTTCCTGCTATCTCTCATAACACATTTCTGACAGTGGAAGTGTGGCAAATGAATCGGAGTCAAGGACTCCCACCCAGGATGGGACAGAGAGGCTTGTCTTAAAATGGCGTGGGGAGGTGAAGAAAGGTGACAAGGAAATGCTGTTCTTCCGGTGAAGAGGCTAAATAACATGTCCCTGTGGTTCCCCAGGCATATACCAAAGCTTAATAACCATACTAAATATGATATATTATGTTAAGGATGAATGAATTCAGCCATTTCTCTATTCTGCCCGAGTTTCTTAAGCACTAACTGCTGGGCAGAAAATAGGACAGAGTCACCCTGTTTCCATGTAAATGGTTTTATAACAGTTAGTTGATGACACATGATTTATATTTGTTTGCACTGTGTATGCATTTTTGGAAACCTAAGAAATGGAAGAAATAAGGTCGTACCACTGTCTCAAATTATGATAAATAAGTGATCTAGAAGCACACTTCTGAGGAAACAAAATCCACCACTTCAAATATGCAATTAGTGTCTATAAGAAGAGAAAATTCAATATAACTTTCAAAATGGTATGTCAGATTATCATAATTGTTGGATGTTTGTTAACAATGCCAAGTGTATTTCAATATACTGCCAAATATAAATGAACAAAGAGTACAGTCTATGGAAAAGGTCCAATTATAGTGAAGGTAAAAAAGCTAAAACAGAAACATGAAGGTAATCTAACACGACTGCATGATGAGCTAAGGATAAGAAACCAACTAGCCTGTTTTTTGAACTGTACGATAACAAATTGTGCAAAGGATCAAAAACTGTAAACAAATCCTGTTTCTCTTTAATGTTCAGACCTGTGTTAATAAGAAGTCTCTTTCACTGAATGACAGTGATAGCCTTAGTTATGTTAGGACCTGCTACGCCGCCTGGATGCTCACAAGTCTATGGGGCCGGATGGGATCCCCCCGAGAGTGCTGAGGGAGCTGGCAGAAGAGCTTGCCAAGCTACTCTCCATCA